AACTTATCTCATGATCTACGTGCAAGACCTGTGTCCATTTTTCTTATTTTTGACAAGGGGCTGATGCCTTATCCATTAGGCCACTGGGCCAACGTGAATAGCCAGCTCTAGCTGATTTTCTTGCTTACATATGCTAGCAACGAGAGGAAATGCTTTTAGATTGATTTTGCACATTCACAGCTACCTGTAGCCCGTTCCTGGCAGACTTTTGAAAGCTCTGGAACCTTATCTCATGATCTTACGTGCAAACCTGTGTCCATTTTTCCTATTTTGGACGAGGGCTGAAAGTGATTCATCTTGGACGGTGCATTCTCGGCAAAGGGGCTTCCTATGATAAACAGATTAGCATCAACAAGCTCCTTATTCAGAGCTTGACTGCTCACATCACATGATTGTCTCTGCCAGCATTTGACTAACTATATTACAAAGCTTGCTTGGTGTGGTTGAGAGTTTGCTAGTTTTCAACGCCAGAGTTGGTATTCCAAGGCAGTAACCAAAGGTAGGCTAAACCTGAATGGGTGAAATCCAATAAAGAGGCTTTTCTGCTCAACAGACTAGCATCAAAAAAACATGTCCTTGACCGTTGACGCTACACGATGACGGGAAGTAGCTTTGGTTGACTGGTGTCTATGCAGCCTTACAAACAGCCGAGTAGCCACAGGTTCAGGGTTCAGTTAGTATTTTCCAATTTTGAAACATAAAAATGGGCTCTATCCGGGATTTAAACCCGGACCTCTCGCACCCGAAGCGAGAATCATACCTCTAGACCAACGAGCCAAATAGCTGCTTCTAAGCAAACCCTTCTGCAGGTCCTTGCTAAACTGTTACCACATGTGAGCAAAATGTGACAGTGAAGGATCTAATTCTGCAACAATTCTTGGGCTGATGTCTTATCCATTAGGCCACTGGGCCAACGTCAATAGCCAGCTCTAGCTGATTCTCTTGCTTATACATATGCTAGATACTAGAGGAAATGCTTTTGATTATTTTGCACATTAACAGCTACCGTCTAGCCCATTCCTGCAGACTTTGGAAAGCTCTGGAACCTTATCTCATGATCTACGTGCAAGACCTGTGTCCATTTTTCTTATTTTGGACAAGGGCTGATGCCTTATCCATTAGTCCACTGGGCAAAAGTGAATAGCCAGCTCTAGCTGATTTTCTTGCTTACACATATGCTAGCAATGAGAGGAAATGCTTTTAGATTGATTTTGCACATTCACAGCTACCCTCTAGCCCTTTCCTGGCAGACTTTGGAAAGCTCTGGAACCTTATCTCATGATCTATGTGCAAGACTTGTGTCCATTGTTCTTATTTTGGACAAGGGCTGATGCCTTATCCATTAGGCCACTGGGCAAAAGTGAATAGCCAGCTCTAGCTGATTTTCTTGCTTACACATATGCTAGCAATGAGAGGAAATGCTTTTAGATTGATTTTGCACATTCACAGCTACCCTCTAGCCCTTTCCTGGCAGACTTTGGAAAGCTCTGGAACCTTATCTCATGATCTACGTGCAAGACCTGTGTCCATTTTTCTTATTTTGGACAAGGGCTGATGCCTTATCCATTAGTCCACTGGGCAAAAGTGAATAGCCAGCTCTAGCTGATTTTCTTGCTTACACATATGCTAGCAACGAGAGGAAATGCTTTTAGATTGATTTTGCACATTCACAGCTATGTACACACATTCATGTAGCCCGTTCCTGGCAGACTTTGGAAAGCTCTGGAACCTTATCTCATGATCTACGTGCAAGACCTGTGTCCATTTTTCCTATTTTGGACGAGGGCTGAAAGTGATTCATCCTGGACGGTGCATTCTCGGCAAAGGGGCTTCCTATGATAAACAGATTAGCATCAACAAGCTCCTTATTCAGAGCTTGACTGCTCACATCACATGATTGTCTCGCCAGCATTTGACTAACTATATTACAAAGCTTGCTTGGTGTGGTTGAGAGTTTGCTAGTTTTCATCGCCAGAGTTGGTACTCCAAGGCAGTAACCAAAGGTAGGCTAAACCTGAATGGGTGAAATCCAATAAAGAGGCTTTTCTGCTCAACAGACTAGCATCAACATCGTCCTTGACCGTTGACGTCACACGATGACGGGAAGCTTAGTCGTGTTGACTGGTGTCTATGCAGCCTTCCAAACAGCCGAGTGGCCACAGGTTCAGGGTTCAGTTAGTATTTTCCAATCTGAAATGTAAAAAATGGGCTCATCCAGGATTTGAACCCGGGACTTCGCACAGCCAAAGCGAGATTCATACCCCTAGACCAACGAGCCAAATAGCTGCTTCTAAGAAAACCCTTCTGCAGTTCCTTGCTAAACTGTTGCCACATGTGAGCAAAATTTTACAGTGAAGAATATAATTCTGCAACAATTCTTTGGCTGATGCCTTATCCATTTGGCCACTTGGCCAACGTCAATAGCCAGCTCTAGCTGATTTTCTTGCTTATACATATGCTAGCAACGAGAGGAAATGCTTTTAGATTGATTTTGCACATTCACAGCTACTGTCTAACCCTTTCCTGGCAGACTTTGGAAAGCTCTGAACATCCATATCTACAACCTTTCTATTAGCCCTATTTTCCTTCAAAAATAACAAGCTGATTTTCTGCTTACACATATGCTAGCAACGAAGATGTTTAATTATTTTGCACATTCACAGCTACTCTAGCCCTTTCCTGGCAGACTTTGGGACTCTGGAACCTTATCTCATGATCTACGTGCAAGACCTGTGTCCATTTTTCTTATTTTGAACAAGGGCTGATGCCGTATCCATTAGGCCACTGGGCAAAAGTGAATAGCCAGCTATAGCTGATTTTCTTGCTTACACATATGCTAGCTACTAGAGGAAATGCTTTTAGATTGATTTTACACATTCACAGGTACCGTCTAGCCCTTTCCTGGCAGACTTTGGAAAGCTCTGGAACCTTATCTCATGATCTACGTGCGAGACCTGTGTCCATTTATCTTATTTTGGACGAGGGCTGATGCCTTATCCATTTGGCCACTGGGTCAAAGTGAATAGCCAGCTCTAGCTGATTTTCTTGCTTACACATATGCTAGCAACGAGAGGAAATGCTTTTAGATTGATTTTGCACATTCAAAGCTACCCTCTAGCCGTTTCCTGGCAGACTTTGGAAAGCTCTGGAACCTTATCTCATGATCTACATGCAAGACCTGTGTCCATTTTTCTTATTTTGGATGAGGGCTGATGCCTTATCCATTTGGCCACTGGGTCAAAGTGAATAGCCAGCTCTAGCTGATTTCTTGCACAATACAGCACAGAGGATATTTTAGATTGATTTTGCACATTCACAGCTACCGTCTAGCCAATCCTGGCAGACTTTGGAAAGCTCTGGAACCTTATCTCATGATCTCGTGCAAGACCTGTGTCCATTTTCATTTGGACACCCCTGTCTCCCTCAACACCTCCACAGGTTCAGGGCTTGCAAATAAAAGCTCACCGAACCCGCTCAAGCGAACTACCCTAGCCACGCCAAAAGCTCTTCTAGAAACCCTTCTGCAGTCCTTCATCCTCTTCGATTACTGCACAATTTGGCTGATGCCTTTCCATTTGGCCACGCGTCAAACCAGCTCTGCTTTTCTTGCTTATACATATCTACGAGAGGAAATCTTAGATTATTTTGCACATTCACAGCTACTGTCTCCCTTTCCTGGCAACTTTGGAAACTCTGGACCTTATCTCATGATCTACGTCAAACCTGTCCATTTTCCTATTTTGGATGAGGGCTGAAAGTGATTCATCCTGGACGATGCATTCTCCCGGCAAAGGGGCTTCCTATGATAAACAGATTAGCATCAACAAGCTCCTTATTCAGAGCTTGACTGTTCACATCACATGATTGTCTCCGTCAGCATTTGACTAACTATATTACAAAGCTTGCTTGGTGTGGTTGAGAGTTTGCTAGTTTTCATCGCCAGAGTTGGTATTCCAAGGCAGTAACCAAAGGTAGGCTAAACCTGAATGGGTGAAATCCAATAAAGAGGCTTTTCTGCTCAACAGAACCTAGCAACTGGAAACTCTGGAACCTTATCTCATGATCTTGTGCAAGACCTGTGTCCATTTTTCTTATTTTGGACAAAGGGCTTGACCCGTTGACCCTTGGCGTCTACGATGACGGGAAGCTTAGTCGTGTTGATTGGTGTCTATCAGCGGCTTCCAAACAGCCGAGTAGCCACAGGTTCAGGGTTCAGTTAGTATTTTCCAATCTGAAATATAAAAAATGGGGCTTATCCGGGATTTGAACCCAGGATTTCTCACACCGAAGCGAGAATCATACCCTAGACCAACGAGGCAAATAGCTGCTACTTGAAGCAAACCCTTCTGCAGGTCCTTGCTAAACTGTTGCCACATGTGAGCAAAATGTGACAGTGAAGGATATAATTCTGCAACAATTCTTGGGCTGATGCCTTATCCATTAGGCCACTGGGCCAACGTCAATAGCCAGCTCTAGCTGATTCTCTTGCTTATACATATGCTAGCTACTAGAGGAAATGCTTTTAGATTGATTTTGCACATTCACAGCTACCCTCTAGCCCTTTCCTGGCAGACTTTGGAAAGCTCTGGAACCTTATCTCATGATCTACGTGCAAGACCTGTGTCCATTTTTCTTATTTTGGACAAGGGCTGATGCCTTATCCATTAGGCCACTGGGCCAAAGTGAATAGCCAGCTCTAGCTGATTTTCTTGCTTACACATATGCTAGCAACGAGAGGAAATGCTTTTAGATTGATTTTGCACATTCACAGCTAACACACATCTGTAGCCCGTTTCCTGGCAGACTTTGGAAAGCTCTGGAACCTTATCTCATGATCTGTGCAAGACCTGTGTCCATTTTTCCTATTTTGGACAAGGGCTGAAATTGATTCATCCTGGACAAGTGCATTCTCGGCAAAGGGGCTTCCTATAATAAACAGTATAGCATCAACAAGCTCTTATTCGAGCTTGACTGCTCACATCACATGATTGTCCCGCCAGCAATTGACTAACTATATTACAAAGCTTGCTTGGTGGGTTTGGCGTTTGCTAGTTTTTCATCGCCAGAGTTGGTATTCCAAGGCAGTAACCAAAGGTAGGCTAAACCTGAATGGGTGAAATCCAATAAAGAGGCTTTTCTGCTCAACAGAAAAGCCTGGCAGACTTTGGAAAGCTCTGGAACCTTATCTCATGATCTATGTGCAAGACCTGTGTCCATTTTTCTTATTTTGGACAAGGGCTTGACCGTTGACCCTTGACGTCACACGATGACGGGAAGCTTAGTCGTGTTGATTGGTGTCTATGCAGCCTTCCAAACACCCGAGTAGCCACAGGTTCAGGGTTCAGTTAGTATTTTCCAATCTGAAATGTAAAAAATGGGCTCATCCAGGATTTGAACCGGGACTTCTCACAGCCAAAGCAAGATTCATACCCCTAGACCAACGAGCCAAATAGCTGCTTCTAAGAAAACCCTTCTGCAGGTCCTTGCTAAACTGTTGCCACATGTGAGCAAAATGTTACAGTGAAGAATATAATTCTGCAACAATTCTCTGGCTGATGCCTTATCCATTTGGCCACTTGGCCAACGTCAATAGCCAGCTCTAGCTGATTTTCTTGCTTATACATGCTAGCTAACGAGGGGAAATGCTTTTAGATTGATTTTGCACATTCACAGCTACTGTCTAACCCTTTCCTGGCAGACTTTGGAAAGCTCTGGAACCTTATCTCATGATCTACGTGCAAGACCTTTGTCCATTTTTCTTATTTTGGACGAGCTATACGCAAAATCTTGGGCTGATGCCTTATCCATTTGGCCACTGGGTCAAAGTGAATAGCCAGCTCAAGCTGATTTTCTGGCTGTTACACATATAATAGCAACGAGAGAAATGCTTTTAAATTGATTTTGCACATTCACAGCTACCCTCTAGCCCTTTCCTGGCAGACTTTGGAAAGCTCTGGAACCTTATCTCATGATCTACACGCAAGACCTGTGTCCATTTTTCTTATTTTGAACGAGGGCTGATGCGCCCTACCATTTGGCCACTGGGTCAAAGTGAATAGCCAGCTCAAGCTGATTTTCTGCTTACACATATGCTAGCTACTGAGAAGAAATGCTTTTAGATTGATTTTGCACATTCACAGCTACCCTCTAGCCCTTTCCTGGCAGACTTTGGAAAGCTCTGGAACCTTATCTCATGATCTACGTGCAAGACCTGTGTCCATTTTTCTTATTTTGGACAAGGGCTGATGCCTTATCCATTAGGCCACTGGGCCAGCGTCAATAGCCAGCTCTAGCTGATTTTCTTGCTTATACATATGCTAGATACTAGAGGAAATGCTTTTAGATTGATTTTGCACATTCACAGCTACCCTCTAGCCCTTTCCTGGCAGACTTTTGAAAGCTCTGGAACCTTATCTCATGATCTACGTGCAAGACCTGTGTCCATTTTTCTTATTTTGGACAAGGGCTGATGCCTTATCCATTAGGCCACTGGGCAAAAGTGAACAACCAGCTCTAGTGATTTCTTGCTTACATATGCTAGCAACGAGAGGAAATGCTTTTAGATTGATTTTGCACATTCACAGCTACCCTCTAGCCCTTTCCTGGCAGACTTTGGAAAGCTCTGGAACCTTATCTCATGATCTACGTGCAAGACCTGTGTCCATTTTTCTTATTTTGACGAGGGGTTAAAATTGTTTTTTTTGGGAGGTGTATTTTTGGAAAAAGGGTTTTTTTAAAAAATTAAAAAATTTTTTTTTATTTTTTTTATTTTTTTTTTTTTTATTATTTTTTAAATTTTTGGTGTTTTTTTTTTAAAAATTTTTGATTATTGAACAAGGGCTGATGCCTTATCCATTAGCCACTGGGCAAAAGTGAATAGCCAGCTCTAGCTGATTTTCTTCCTTACACATATGCTAGCTACTAGAGGAAATGCTTTTAGATTGATTTTGCACATTCACAGCTACCCTCTAGCCCTTTCCTGGCAGACTTTGGAAAGCTCTGGAACCTTATCTCATGATCTACGTCGCAGACCTGTGTCCATTTTTCTTATTTTGGACAAGGGCTGATGCCTTATCCATTTGGCCACTGGGTCAAAAGTGAATAGCCAGCTCTAGCTGATTTTCTTGCTTACACATATGCTAGCAACGAGAGGAAATGCTTTTAGATTGATTTTGCACATTCAAAGCTACCCTCTAGCCCTTTCCTGGCAGACTTTGGAAAGCTCTGGAACCTTATCTCATGATCTACATGCAAGACCTGTGTCCATTTTTCTTATTTTGGGCAAGGGCTGATGCCTTATCCATTTGGCCACTGGGTCAAAAGTGAATAGCCAGCTCTAGCTTTTTGAGATGAAATGCTTTTAGATTGATTTTGCACATTCACAGCTACCGTCTAGCCCATTCCTGGCAGACTTTGGAAAGCTCTGGAACCTTATCTCATGATCTACGACAGCAAGACCTGTGTCCATTTTTCCTTTTTGGACGAGGGCTGAATGACTCATCCTGGGCCGGTGCATTCGGCAAAGGGGCTTCCTATGATAAACAGATTAGCATCAACAAGCTGCTTATTCAGAGCTTGACTGCTACACATCACATGATTGTCTAAGGAGCATTTGACTAACTATATTACAAAGCTTGCTTGGTGTGGTTGAGAGTTTGCTAGTTTTCACGCCAGAGTTGGTATTCCAAGGCAGTAACCAAAGGTAGGCTAAACCAGATGGGTGAAATCCAATAAAGAGGCTTTTCTGCTCAACAGACTAGCATCAACATCGATCCTTGACCGTTGACGTCACACGATGACGGGGAAGCTTAGTCGTGTGGATTGGTGTCTATGCAGCCTTCCAAACACCCGAGTAGCCACAGGTTCAGGGTTCAGTTAGTATTTTCCAATCTGGTGTCTATGCAGCCTTCCAAAAACCAGAGTAGCCACAGGTTCAGGGTTCAGTTAGTATTTTCCAATCTGAAATGTTAAAAATGGGCTCATCCAGGATTTGAACGCGGGACTTCTCACAGCCAAAGTGAGATTCATACCCCTAGACCAAAGAGCCAAATAGCTGCTTCTAAGAAAACCCTTCTGCAGGTCCTTGCTAAACTGTTGCCACATGTGAGCAAAATGTTACAGTGAAGAATATAATTCTGCAACAATTCTTTGGCTGATGCCTTATCCATTTGGCCACTTGGCCAACGTCAATAGCCAGCTCTAGCTGATTTTCTTGCTTATACATATGCTAGCAACGAGAGGAAATGCTTTTAGATTGATTTTGCACATTCACAGCTACTGTCTAACCCTTTCCTGGCAGACTTTGGAAAGCTCTGGAACCTTATCTCATGATCTACGTGCAAGACCTTTGTCCATTTTTCTTATTTTGGACAACAGTAAAGCATATAATTCTGCAACAATTCTTGGGCTGATGCCTTATCCATTAGTCCACTGGGTCAACGTGAATCGCCAGCTCTAGCTGATTCTCTTGCTTATACATATGCTAGCTACTAGAGGAAATGCTTTTAGATTGATTTTGCACATTCACAGCTACCGTCTAGCCCTTTCCTGGCAGACTTTGGAAAGCTCTGGAACCTTATCTCATGATCTACGTGCAAGACCTGTGTCCATTTTTCTTATTTTGGACAAGGGCTGATGCCTTATCCATTAGTCCACTGGGCAAAAGTGAATAGCCAGCTCTAGCTGATTTTCTTGCTTACACATATGCTAGCAACGAGAGGAAATGCTTTTAGATTGATTTTGCACATTCAAAGCTACCCTCTAGCCGTTTCCTGGCAGACTTTGGAAAGCTCTGGAACCTTATCTCATGATCTACATGCAAGACCTGTGTCCATTTTTCTTATTTTGGACGAGGGCTGATGCCTTATCCATTTGGCCACTGGGTCAAAGTGAATAGCCAGCTCTAGCGAGATGAAATGCTTTTAGATTGATTTTGCACATTAACAGCTACCGTCTAGCCCTTTCCTGGCAGACTTTGGAAAGCTCTGGAACCTTATCTCATGATCTATGTGCAAGACCTGTGTCCATTTTTCTTATTTTGGACAAGGGCTGATGCCTTACCCATTAGGCCACTGGGCCAACATGAATAGCCAGCTGTAGCTGATTTTCTTGCTTACACATATGCTAGCAACGAGAGGAAATGCTTTTAGATTGATTTTGCACATTCACAGCTACCGTGTAGCCCGTTCCTGGCAGACTTTGGAAAGCTCTGGAACCTTATCTCATGATCTACGTGCAAGACCTGTGTCCATTTTTCCTATTTTGGACGAGGGCTGAAATTGATTCATCCTGCACGATGCATTCTCGGCAAAGGGGCTTCCTATGATAAACAGATTAGCATCAACAAGCTCCTTATTCAGAGCTTGACTGCTCACATCACATGATTGTCTCGCCAGCAATTCACTAACTATATTACAAAGCTTGCTTGGTGTGGTTGAGAGTTTGCTAGTTTTCATCGCCAGAGTTGGTATTCCAAGGCAATAACCAAAGGTAGGCTAAACCTGAATGGGTGAAATCCAATAAAGAGGCTTTTCTGCTCAACAGACTAGCATCAACATTGTCCTTGACCGTTGACGTCACACGATGACGGGAAGCTTAGTCGTGTTGACTGGTGTCTATGCAGCCTTCCAAAAACCAGAGTAGCCACAGGTTCAGGGTTCAGTTAGTATTTTCCAATCTGAAACATAAAAAAAGGGCTCATCCGGGATTTGAACCCTGGAACTCTCACACCCGACGCGAGAATCATAACGCTAGACCAATGAGCCAAATAGCTGCTACTGAGCAAACCCTTCTGCAGGTCCTTGCTAAACTGTTGCCCCATGTGAGCAAAATGTGACAGTGAAGGATATAATTCTGCAACAATTCTTGGGCTGATGCCTTATCCATTAGGCCACTGGGCCAACGTCAATAGCCAGCTCTAGCTGATTTTCTTGCTTATACATATGCTAGCTACTAGAGGAAATGCTTTTAGATTGATTTTGCACATTCACAGCTACCGTCTAGCCCTTTCCTGGCAGACTTTGGAAAGCTCTGGAACTTTATCTCATGATCTACGTGCAAGACCTGTGTCCAATTTTCTTATTTTGGAGAAGGGCTGATGCCTTATCCATTAGTCCACTGGGCCAAGGTGAATAGCCAGCTCTAGCTGATTTTATTGCTTACACATATGCTAGCAACGAGAGGAAATGCTTTTAGATTGATTTTGCAAATTCACAGCTACCCTCTAGCTGTTTCCTGGCAGACTTTGGAAAGCTCTTGAACCTTATCTCATGATCTACATGCAAGATCTGTGTCCATTTTTCTTATTTTGGACGAGGGCTGATGCCTTATCCATTTGGCCTCTGGGTCAAAGTGAATAACCAGCTCTAGCTGATTTTCTTGCTTACACATATGCTAACAACGAGAGGAAATGCTTTTAGATTGATTTTGCACATTCACAGCTACCCTCTAGCCCGTTCCTGGCAGACTTTGGAAAGCTCTGGAACCTTATCTCATGATCTATGTGCAAGACATGTGTCCATTTTTCCTATTTTGGACGAGGGCTGAAATTGATTCATCCTGGACGATGCATTCTCGGCAAAGGGGCTTCCTATGATAAACAGATTAGCATCAACAAGCTCCTTATTCAGAGCTTGACTGCTCACATCACATGATTGTCTCGCCAGCAATTGACTAACTATATTACAAAGCTTGCTTGGTGTGGTTGAGAGTTTGCTAGTTTTCATCGCCAGAGTTGGTATTCCAAGGCAGTAACCAAAGGTAGGCTAAACCTGAATGTGTGAAATCCAATAAAGAGTCTTTTCTGCTCAACAGACTAGCATCAACATTGTCCTTGACCGATGACGTCACACGATGACGGGAAGCTTAGTCGTGTTGACTGGTGTCTATGCAGCCTTCCAAACACCCGAGTAGCCACAGGTTCAGGGTTCAGTTAGTATTTTTCCAATCTGAAACGTAAAAATGAGCTCATCCGGATTTGAACCCTGGACGCACCAAAGCAAGAATCATACCCCTAGACCAACAAGCCAAATAGCTGCTACTATAAAAATCTTTCTGCAGGTCCTTGTTAAACTGTTGCCACATGCGACCAAAATGTTACAGTGAAGGATATAATTCTGCAACAATTCTTGGGCTGATGCCTTATCCATTAGTCCACTGGGTCAGCGTGAATCGCCAGCTCTAGCTGATTCTCTTGCTTATACATATGCTAGCTACTAGAGGAAATGCTTTTAGATTGATTTTGCACATTCACAGCTACCGTCTAGCCCTTTCCTGGCAGACTTTGGAAAGCTCTGGAACCTTATCTCATGATCTACGTGCAAGACCTGTGTCCATTTTTCTTATTTTTGACAAGGGCTGATGCCTTATCCATTAGTCCACTGGGCAAAAGTGAATAGCCAGCTCTAGCTGATTTTCTTGCTTACACATATGCTAGCAACGAGAGGAAATGCTTTTAGATTGATTTTGCACATTCAAAGCTACCCTCTAGCCGTTTCCTGGCAGACTTTGGAAAGCTCTGGAACCTTATCTCATGATCTACATGCAAGACCTGTGTCCATTTTTCTTATTTTGGACAAGGGCTGATGCCTTATCCATTAGGCCACTGGGCCAACATGAATAGCCAGCTCTAGCTGATTTTCTTGCTTACACATATGCTAGCAACGAGAGGAAATGCTTTTAGATTGATTTTGCACATTCAAAGCTACCCTCTAGCCGTTTCCTGGCAGACTTTGGAAAGCTCTGGAACCTTATCTCATGATCTACATGCAAGACCTGTGTCCATTTTTCTTATTTTGGACGAGGGCTGATGCCTTATCCATTTGGCCACTGGGTCAAAGTGAATAGCCAGCTCTAGCGAGATGAAATGCTTTTAGATTGATTTTGCACATTAACAGCTACCGTCTAGCCCTTTCCTGGCAGACTTTGGAAAGCTCTGGAACTTTATCTCATGATCTACGTGCAAGACCTGTGTCCAATTTTCTTATTTTGGAGAAGGGCTGATGCCTTATCCATTAGTCCACTGGGCCAACGTGAATAGCCAGCTCTAGCTGATTTTCTTGCTTACACATATGCTAGCAACGAGAGGAAATGCTTTTAGATTGATTTTGCAAATTCACAGCTACCCTCTAGCCCTTTCCTGGCAGACTTTGGAACGCTCTTGAACCTTATCTCATGATCTACATGCAAGACCTGTGTCCATTTTTCTTATTTTGGACGAGGGCTGATGCCTTATCCATTTGGCCTCTGGGTCAAAGTGAATAACCAGCTCTAGTTGATTTTCTTGCTTACACATATGCTAACAACGAGAGGAAATGCTTTTAGATTGATTTTGCACATTCACAGCTACCCTCTAGCCTGTTCCTGGCAGACTTTGGAAAGCTCTGGAACCTTATCTCATGATCTACGTGCAAGACCTGTGTCCATTTTTCCTATTTTGGACGAGGGCTGAAAGTGATTCATCCTGGACGGTGCATTCTCGGCAAAGGGGCTTCCTATGATAAACAGATTAGCATCAACAAGCTCCTTATTCAGAGCTTGACTGCTCACATCACATGATTGTCTCGCCAGCATTTGACTAACTATATTACAAAGCTTGCTTGGTGTGGTTGAGAGTTTGCTAGTTTTCATCGCCAGAGATGGTATTCCAAGGCAGTAACCAAAGGTAGGCTAAACCTGAATGTGTGAAATCCAATAAAGAGGCTTTTCTGCTCAACAGACTAGCATCAACATTGTCCTTGACCGATGACGTCACACGATGACGGGAAGCTTAGTCGTGTTGACTGGTGTCTATGCAGCCTTCCAAACACCCGAGTAGCCACAGGTTCAGGGTTCAGTTAGTATTTTCCAATCTGAAACGTAAAAAATGAGCTCATCCGGGATTTGAACCCTCGACGCACCCAAAGCAAGAATCATACCCCTAGACCAACAAGCCAAATAGCTGCTACTATAAAAATCCTTCTGCAGGTCCTTGTTAAACTGTTGCCACATGCGAGCAAAATGTTACAGTGAAGGATATAATTCTGCAACAATTCTTGGGCTGATGCCTTATCCATTAGTCCACTGGGTCAGCGTGAATCGCCAGCTCTAGCTGATTCTCTTGCTTATACATATGCTAGCTACTAGAGGAAATGCTTTTAGATTGATTTTGCACATTCACAGCTACCGTCTAGCCCTTTCCTGGCAGACTTTGGAAAGCTCTGGAACCTTATCTCATGATCTACGTGCAAGACCTGTGTCCATTTTTCTTATTTTGGACAAGGGCTGATGCCTTATCCATTAGTCCACTGGGCAAAAGTGAATAGCCAGCTCTAGCTGATTTTCTTGCTTACACATATGCTAGCAACGAGAGGAAATGCTTTTAGATTGATTTTGCACATTCAAAGCTACCCTCTAGCCGTTTCCTGGCAGACTTTGGAAAGCTCTGGAACCTTATCTCATGATCTACATGCAAGACCTGTGTCCATTTTTCTTATTTTGGACGAGGGCTGATGCCTTATCCGTTTGGCCACTAGGTCAAAGTGAATAGCCAGCTCTAGCGAGATGAAATGCTTTTAGATTGATTTTGCACATTAACAGCTACCGTCTAGCCCATTCCTGGCAGACTTTGGAAAGCTCTGGAACCTTATCTCATGATCTACGTGCAAGACCTGTGTCCATTTTTCTTATTTTGGACAAGGGCTGATGCCTTATCCATTAGGCCACTGGGCCAACATGAATAGCCAGCTCTAGCTGATTTTCTTGCTTACACATATGCTAGCAACGAGAGGAAATGCTTTTAGATTGATTTTGCACATTTACAGCTACCGTGTAGCCCGTTCCTGGCAGACTTTGGAAAGCTCTGGAACCTTATCTCATGATCTACGTGCAAGACCTGTGTCCATTTTTCCTATTTTGGACGAGGGCTGAAATTGATTCATCCTGGACGATGCATTCTCGGCAAAGGGGCTTCCTATGATAAACAGATTAGCATCAACAAGCTCTTTATTCAGAGCTTGACTGCTCACATCACATGATTGTCTCGCCAGCAATTGACTAACTATATTACAAAGCTTGCTTGGTGTGGTTGAGAGTTTGCTAGTTTTCATCGCCAGAGTTGGTATTCCAAGGCAGTAACCAAAGGTAGGCTAAACCTGAATGGGTGAAATCCAATAAAGAGGCTTTTCTGCTCAACAGACTAGCATCAACATTGTCCTTGACCGTTGACGTCACACGATGACGGGATGCTTAGTCGTGTTGACTGGTGTCTATGCAGCCTTCCAAAAACCAGATTAGCCACAGGTTCAGGGTTCAGTTAGTATTTTCCAATCTGAAACATAAAAAATGGGCTCATCCAGGATTTGAACCCTCCACGCACCCAAAGCGAGAATCATACCCCAGACCAACGAGCCAAATAGCTGCTACTAAAAAAATCCTTCTGCAGGTCCTTGTTAAACTGTTGCCACATGTGAGCAAAATGTTACAGTGAAGGATATAATTCTGCAACAATTCTTGGGCTGATGCCTTATCCATTAGTCCACTGGGTCAACGTGAATCACCAGCTCTAGCTGATTTTCTTGCTTACACATATGCTAGCAACGAGAGGAAATGCTTTTAGAGTGATTTTGCACATTCACAGCTACCCTCTAGCCCTTTCCTGGCAGACTTTGGAAAGCTCTGGAACCTTATCTCATGATCTACGTGCAAGACCTGTGTCCATTTTTCTTATTTTGGACAAGGGCTGATGCCTTATCCATTAGGCCACTGGGCCAACATGAATAGCCAGCTCTAGCTGATTTTCTTGCTTACACATATGCTAGCAATGAGAGGAAATGCTTTTAGATTGATTTTGCACATTCACAGCTACCGTGTAGCCCGTTCCTGGCAGACTTTGGAAAGCTCTGGAACCTTATCTCATGATCTACGTGCAAGACCTGTGTCCATTTTTCCTATTTTGGACGAGGGCTGAAATTGATTCATCCTGGACGATGCATTCTCGGCAAAGGGGCTTCCTATGATAAACAGATTAGCATCAACAAGCTCCTTATTCAGAGCTTGACTGCTCACATCACATGATTGTCTCACCAGCAATTGACTAACTATATTACAAAGCTTGCTTGGTGTGGTTGAGAGTTTGCTAGTTTTCATCGCCAGAGTTGGTATTCCAAGACACAGCAGGCGCCTGTTTAAACAAAGCTCTGTTTTAGATTTTTTGCTGTCACTTGTCTCGGGCCCCGTGGGTTGGGTGAAGGACTCAGTTGGTCTCCAAAAGGGCCCAGTATAATAATAGATAAAAGAGATAAGGCAACACGGTAGAAGAAAGTGTGTGAGAAAAGGATGAAAGAAGATTTTGTAATAGGTTAAGGACAAAAAAGGGAAAAACAAGTTTTAAGGAAAAACTTAAGAGAAATGTGTATGTATAAGAAGAAGTGACTTAAAAGAGAAGACAAAAAGAAACCTGCGATACCGCTGAGAGAGTCAGGTCTGTTTGGGCAGGTGTGAGGCCTCATAACCCCAGACACCGGCCACAAGAGGTGGTGACTGCTTGGTGGGGTATGATATAAAACTCCTGGGCCCAGGGCTGGGTATTGCTTAGAAGGGAAAAATTATAGTAGAAAAGAAAGCATACCCAGACGTGCACGTATAACTAGAGATGCATGCAGGAAATAATTGGAAACACTGATATAGCGAACCCCTGGTGAACAAAGGGGAATTTTTCTTTTATATTTCACTTTTATATATGTAATTGTCATAGTGTGAGATGGAATGTTAAACTGTGTACATGTGTGTTGTGATATGAGCCAATAGAGAACTGGGCTGGGAGAGGAACGGAGGGGAACACAGACTGCGAGAATACAAAGAAAGAGGTGACGACATAACGACCAAGACAAGGTAGGAAAAGCATTTGGTTGAATAATGGCAGCAGCAGGAAAAGAGGGAAGAACAGCACTAGAAATCATAGTTGAAAAACATAAGTTAGATGAAAAAGATATAAGACATTATTGTAAAAAATGGAGTGAAAAAACCAGTGGAGCATGGAAATGGCCTAAGACAGGGAAATTTGAGGAGGAATGGTGCCAAAAGATGAGGGATAGAGTCCTAATATGGGGGGAAAAGAAAAAAGGACAGAAAGCCAAGGAAAAATACGCAAAGCAGGAAAAGATAGCGGAATGGTTTCACAAGGAAGGAAGAGACAGAAGAGAGAGAGAGAGAATCGAGAAGGAGAAGGAGAAAAAAGAAGACAAAGAGAGGAAGGAAGAGGAAATAACAAGGAAAATAAAGGCAAGGATAGAGAAAGAACGAGAGAGCAGAACTGAAGCACCGACATATGAAGAAGGAAAGCAGCATAAACCCCCGCCCCCTTATAATCCCCAGTTTCAACCCCAAGTGAAGCCAAGAAGAAAAGTCCCACTGGCTGGGATATATGTGTTACAAGAAGAAAAGGAAGAGGAGTGGGAGACAACTGAAGTCGAATTACAAGGCATGTTTAAAGGATATCAAAAGAAAGTGGTACCGGAAAGAAGGCTGGATGGAGAAGACAGGGAAGGAATAAGGAATATGGAAGAAAAGGGAGCATGGGAATCAAGCGTAGATGTACCTGAAGGAAGAAATCGGGAACATCAGGAAATGATGAAGCACTACGTCAAAGGTCAACACATGGGAGCCCAGGAGGAAAGAAACAAAGAACTCTCAGAACAACAAAAGGAGGAAGAACTAGAAGAAGCACAGAGTCTGTATAAACAGGAAAAACGAAGGGATGAAGAAACCTCACAAGTTCTCCAAAACAATGATGAAATAGAATGGGGAGACGGCAACAAGAAATACCGCACCAGCACGCCTAGACCCACTGGACAGAATAAAAGAGAAAAGGAATGGCAGCATGGGAATATAGATACAGAAGAAGAAGAAGGAAGAGAAAGTAGTAGTTTGGAAGAAGAGGAGGGGTCTACATCAAGGAGCAGTTTTAAAGGACGAAGCAATAGCAGACAGCGGGCTAACAAGAAGAAAGGAAAAGGAAAGACAGTAAAGATGGAAGGGGAATTCACAATAACCCCATATCCAGAGCTGGAAGAAGACGAGATGGATGAAAGAGTGTCTCAACTAGAAGAACATGCTAAACGAGACCGGGAAACAAGGGAAAAAGTGAAACATATTGAGGAACAATCAGAACAAATAGCAAATGTTGTTAACGAATTAAAGAAGCAGCAAGTGGAGGAATTGAAAAAACTACAAGGGGTGGAAGAAACTTTAAACAGAACCACAGTCCAGCAAATGGAAAAACTGGTCAAATCAACCAATGCTCTGGTTTCACGGTACACAACTCAGGGCGAAGAAATGAGGCGTGACAGTTTCCTGGGAGAAGAGAATGACATAAGAAAATGGAGAGGCGAAGATATTGAGGGAAGTGACGGCGAATGCACCCCAGGACAGAGTGAAAGGATGGGCAAGATGATGAAACTAAGGGACAAGCTAAAAAAGCCAGAACGCTACCAAGCAAACTGGCCGGTCAAAAGAAGAGGGTCCGTAGGAGAAACGCACACACAATACCCGCTGATGGTAAAAGGAAAAGCATGACAGTATACACCCTGGAGCTTTATGGATTTAACAGGACTGATGCAAAAGTTGCCTAGTATATGCGAAGGAGGGCAGAAATGGATTACTCAGTTTGAAGAAAAAACAGCAGGACAACACCTGGCCCTGGGAGACATAAAAGCAATACTATGTCAAGTGGCAGGAAAGGGACGCACGGAGGAGATACTGAAGACAGCACAAATAGAAGAAGCAATGGATGACCCAGCAGTGGATTCAGTCCCCTTTGGTGGGTACAGGACAAAAATTTGGGATGCCCTTCGAACTGTATATCCAGCCAAAATGGACCCCGGAAAACTTGAAGTGATCAGGTTACAGGATGACGAAAACGTGGCGGCATTCATACAAGATTTCCAGAATAAGTGGAGAGATGAAACGGGGGCCAAATGGGATGCTTCAGTGGCAAGTATAGGGTTGTTCAAAATGCTGCTGAAAAAGGCTCTCCCAGAAGAAGTGAGAAAAAGATTGGACGAAGTAGTAGGGTTAAGCACGATGGAATGGAACACCTTCGTCGCACATGTAACCCATCACGTCGAACAGTACAGGAAAACGAAGAAGGAAGCGAAAGAAGCAACCGAAACACTGCTGACACAATTATATAAAGCCCAGCTCGGAGAGATAACCAGGACCAAACAAGAAGAAAAAGAGAAAAGGAGGGAAAGCACCAAACAAGCAGCCCTGATGGTACCCCAACAACCAGCGACCCTACAGGGGATCCAAGCGGGAGAACGAGTGATGGACACCCAAGTCTACCCTCAGCCACTGACGGGACAAAGGGAAGTTGCAGTAATACTGCCCAGCCCCCAAGGACAAGCTTACCAGACCTATCCGCAGAGACAATACATGCCCACTATGCAACAAGGATGGGGACGAGGAAGAGGCTACGGTAGAAACCGCTTCGCACCTCGGGGAGGCATGCAGACGGAAGGGTGCTGGGAATGCGGAGATCCAAGTCATCGAAGAATTAGCTGCCCATATCTCCAGAAGCCGACATGGGGGGAACGAGTAGATAGAGCGGAAAGACGAGGACAAACATTGGGCCCCAGGGGACCACCAACGACACAGATGGGAATTGAGGTGCAACAACAACAATGGCACCAACAAGCCCCGACGCCCCCAGGAGGCCATATGTATGGTGAACGGGGGCCCAACCAAAGTTGAAGGAGCCTAGAGAAGCAAAAGGGGGAGCTAATGCAGTTTACAACCACACTGCACCCCGAACAAGAACCCACAGTAACAGTAACCATAGGCAACACGTTTAGCACACCCTTTATGATAGACACTGGTGCCACATACTCAAGCATTGGCAAATCAGGTTCTCAGCTCCCCCTTTCACGCAAGGCGATACAGACAATGGGCTTCTCAGGAAAAATACAGACCTTGCGTTTCACCGAACCTCAGGAACTAATGCTAGACGGAGTAACGGTACAAGCCCCGCTCCTATATGCCCCAGAAGCACCAGTAAATCTGCTGGGACGCGACACCCTATGCAAACTAGGGGCACAGATACGCTGCGAAGCAACCGGAATATGGGTCACCTTCCCCAGAGTCGGGGCCACTCAATGTCTCATGACGTACACATCAATGACGGAACTCAAAAAGTTAGACAAGGTGTACTGGCTGGAAATACCAGACCTGTCTCACTCGGAACTTTGGCAGAAATATCAGGAGTGGAAGCCCTGGTTAACATACATACGACCAGAATGCAAAGAGGCTGAAGAACCAATCCATTGCACCCTGAAGTATGATAAAGGAGGATGCGATCAAGAGTACGAGCAACTGTGGGAGGAGATGGAACGAGGAAAGAGGGTAAGCATAAAGA